AACCAAAGGCAGAAAACCTGAATAATACAAATACCCTCCCTCCGCCCCGACGTTAAACATATCGAATAAAAAGTACCAAAGTCCTGTATGGAAATCGAAATGAGAAAATCAAATGCATGAGAGAAACTGCAATTTTTAGAAACTGTATACAATGAACGTATATATATATATATATATAAATGAATGTGCTGCGTTACGCAAAACTCATTTCTACATGTACCATGAAACATATTACAAAGGCTGTGACGTTGTAAGCTTGTACAGTGATGCAATGTCTCGGGGGAAACGTCACGTGTCCTTAATAAAAGTTAGATCACGATCGAGTGAGATCTCTGCTTTTCGAGCTTTCTGTTTTTATTAACGTACTTTTGGCCGTATAAGAATGGAGCGAGACGTAACCGAGCAAAGAATCAACATCAAATTTCTCGTAAAATTTGGTAAAATTTTACGGCCAGGAAATTCTTCAAATGTTGAAAATGGTGTATGGTGAGTCTGCCGTAAAGCGTAGAACTGTGTATAAATGGACCGGTTCAAGGAGGGAAGGGAGAGAGTCGATGACAACACACGGGGCGTTCTTCAACATCTTTTTTTTCGATATTCGTGGAGTTGTTCATTATGAATATGTATTCCAGAAGGTGAATCTGTTAATGCAAAATTCTATGTTGAAGTCTTAAAGCGTCTGCGTGAACGTGTACGACGTACACGATCCGAATTGTGGGCGGAGAACGCATCGATTCTGCATCAGGACAATGCACCTTCGCACACCGCGTTCGTTACGCGCGAGTTTTTGGTATAAAAACAATATCACTACCATAAACCACCCTCCCTATTCACCTGATCTACCTTCACCCTGTGACTTCTATCTGTTGCCTACCCTGCTGAAAATTTTTCTCATTTTTATACGAATTGGAACATTTTTCAGAAATACTCAGAAATATTCGGACAGTTTATATCTTCTTTCAGAATTTCTCATACAAGTGACTTCTGAAATATTCTGAAATTTTTCACCCCATAATTTTTAAAAAGTATTTTTAAATTTTATAACATTTTATAACATTTCGTCAGAAATTATACTTAAAAATCTTACGATATTTTATAATTAATATATATGAAAAATTCTGAGAAATATATAATCTTATAATTAATATGTATGAAAAATTCTGAGAAAAGATGTAGATTTTCTGAGAAATGTTCCAATTCGTATAAAAAATGTGAGAAAGTTATAAAATTATAGAGAAATTCTGAAAAATTATATGAAATTCTAATAAAGTATCATGCGGGGTGAACATTTTGTGGCTGTTGATACCATAAAACGAGAAACGACGAAGCTCTTAAAGGACAAAGGAAGACATGCAGCACTGTTTTCAGGAATGGGAGAAGCGTTGAACCAAGTGTATTCCGTCAAGGGGAGAGTACATCCGAGGGTGACCACATCCCCATTACAGAATAATTTAATTTGGATTTTTAATGAACTGAGTGCACGAACTTTTTGTACACACCTCGTATATATATACATGCTCGATTACAAGTATTTTCTCTTACATTGATTTTGGAGAAAAGAAGACTTATTATGCATTTCCTTAGCAAAGCTGCGTTCGGCAATGCAAATCTGAGGCGTCGGAGTGCTCTTTCTCTCTAGTGCACGTGACATATGCTACAATATAAGAGTACTCAGATTTGCATTGCCGAACGCAGCTCGAATCTGTGATTTCGAATTCTGTTATTACTCTGTATTTATAGTTGCTAGAGATCAGTTTAGCGGTACTCTTGTATAAAAGTAATATACTTCACCGTAATTCTTCAATCGGTGCATTCTGAGACCACAATTCGTTCATAAAACTATATAAAGTATCACTGACAGCTACCTGTAACAGGCATTAAAAAAAAACATATTTATATAATCTATTTTCATGAACAATGTTATCTACTTTAATAATATCTGAACTAAAAATTTCAAAATATTAGGCATTTTAGAAAAACTATCAAATTACTCAAGTACATATCTATATTCGATTACATCAATTCTTAGTAATTCTCAAAATACTAAAATTTTACCTTATATGGTGTTGGATTCAAATTTCTTTTATGATCGTTACGCAATATATTGAGAGATTCTTGCACTCTATTGCGGATCTCTTGTAAAGTAGGTAATGGTTGACACAATTTGCCGTCTTTCCAGTATATCTGCAAGATGTTTTTACTTATTAATTGTAAATCATAAATATTATTAACGTCAATAATATCAATAATATATTGTTAGCAATGTAACCACGAGCTTTCTTTATATGTAAATAAAGCTCGTGGTTATGAACGAAATTAAAAGTAATGAATGATTTAACTGAAAATTAAATAACATAAATAAAGGGCATTCGATTATACTCCGCGTTTCAACATCGCGGCCATTTTGAGAATATGACTGTTTACTAAAAGCATCAAGCTTTCTCGGATGCCAACAATAACCTCTGGTGGAGGCACAATATAGCGGAAAATTTAAATTGAAATTTGTGGTTTGGCGATTGGATTTGGAAATTGGATTTTGGTGACGCACTCTGTAGATGAATCTATGATAAGCAATGATGTAAAAACGATAGTTTAAGACATATCAACCCATACGATCCTAAAACTTTAATTTTCTTAACTACATAAATATTTTGACACATAACATTGACACAGCAAAGACTTTCGAAAAAACCCTAACATTTCATAGTTTAAATTTGAGACAATACTTCACTTTGGGGTAAAATATGAACAAAGTTTTTATTGCGAAGCTATTTTAATTATTAATTGACTTGTCACATCAATAACGTTTATCAGCAGTGTTTTGATAGAGGTGAATTAAAATATAGCCATTATTGATAACGGCTATATTTAGAATTTATGAATAAACTTTGTGAATCACTTGAAGGCGCTTAATCACTGTTGCACCATCATGTTAATTCACTGATTGCGTCTTCTCTCCCATAAATAGTTGATTGATCATCTCACATGGAAACATTGCGGATATTATAATAAATGGCGAAAATATGTGGCTATTGTTTTATGCATTTTATTGCTTATCATGAATTCATCTGTTTGTATTGAAGATGGCTAAAAAATTAGCCAAAACATGTATACGAATTATTAATTAAATATAAGAGATACAATTTAATAATATTGAAATTTATCGCGCACATCGCTAATTCCTATATAGCCAAACTTATTATAATTATATTGAAAACTTATTATTTTAACTAGATGATACCTTGTGCAGAGACTCCACTCGGGATGGTGTAACATTAGCTCTTTTTCTTTGCTGAAACGGATGCCTACAGAGAACCTTTTGCATTACTTGCGGTGGATCTTCTGTTATTACCTGTAAAAGATCTATCAATGCGTAGCCATTCGATCCGTAGAGTCTATAAGCAGCTTTTCTGCCTGGTATTGTGACCTTTTCAACTTCTTGACTCAGTTTGATTCTCGGCTTATTATTAATTTCTACCATTTTGTAAACGCATCCCAGAGCCGGTTGTCTTTGGCATGTTACAAGATGCGTTCCAATCCCGAAACAATCAATTTTATGGCTCTGGAAAATATTCATTTTTTTTAAATGATACATCTCTCATTCGCGATTTGTAAATTTTTACCTGCTCATTCAAACTTATTATAGTCTCCTCGTTGATATCGTTGGACGCGTAAATCATCAATTTTGCAAACCATGGTATGTCGTACTTGATGGCAATTTTCTCAAAAATATCTCTCGCCACATTACTAAGATATGCTAAATCACCGCTGTCAATCCTGATCCCGATAGCTCTATACCCCAAGTTGTTCAAAGCTAACGCTACCGCACAGAAGTTTAACAGACCGCTCCTATTCGTAAAAACATTAGTTAACAAAATTAAAGCATGTTCCACCCTGCAAAAACAAGCAAATTTCGACAGAGAATAACTTCGTCAAAAATTATCGTAATAAGATTTAAAAAAAAAAATGTTAAAGCTTAAAATCTCTACTTTTCAGATCGGTACTTAAGAAACCGGTCTTAACTGATATTTTGTAAAATAACATAAACGTAAATGAAGACGCATCAGATCTTAAAAATTATTTTTTAAATAATCAATTTTAAAGATTTATTTCTAAAACATCTTCACTTTTTGTTAATTTAAATACTACATCTACAACACAAATATTTATATATACTGTATTATTGAAATGACGAATATGTATATAGAATAATCAAAAGCATAATAAAGCTATTTGTGAAATATACGTGAAATATAGTATACTAGTAATACAAAAGAAATAAATATAAACAACAAAGTTTATGCAAATCCCATGCATTAATGTAAAATTGACACGAGTGTGCAAAAGAATATTAATCAAAGTTTGCAAAACGCCAATTTCAAAAACAAACATTGAACTTTCTACTTAAAAGCATTAAATAAACGAGCGACACAATTACGTACTTCTTAACATCATATGTGTCCACAATAGCAGTGAATGTTTCCGGGAAAGCGATGGCATAACTGATCAAAGCCGCTAATTCTCCATCAGACGCCTGCGAAACTGAAGCTTCCAAATCGTCGGCAATAGCCTCGCGATGCTTACAAGCAAGTTCCAATACATCTAAAATGTCACCCGTTTGCTTATGCGCCAATGTCTGCGAGAGAAACAGATCAATCATTTTTTTTCTTCCTTATTATGCAGAATTTCAATTTAACATTTATTAAAGTTAATTAAATTAACTTAGAGGAAATTCGTGTTGAATATACCTACTTTCCCTTGCAGATCGCTGATGCTGGTGAAAGACGTGATATATGCATGTGCATGTGTGCCATGTATAGGTATATTGAACAGCTTTCCAGCCAAGACATTACTAGTCCCATCAAATCCACCTGCAACACAATAAATTACTTCTAACTTAATTTAAATTTTAAATAAAATCAAAATTTTTGAAGGGCTACGAGCCAGAGATACAAAACAAAGAAAATATATTATAAAATTATAAATATGAAAATACAACAAAACAAACGTTTCGACACCGAGTCATTCTCAATGTTGACAAAAAAATTTTTATAGATGTTAAATTATTACAGACGGAAATAATATATAAATTATCTATCACTTAATACGTGTTAAATACTAAAAATTAAATTTTAAATTAATTTTCAATTTGCTTATGTCTCATATATTAAAATATGTTCGCATTTTTTAAAATATATTAGCGTTATATAGTCAATGTTTGAACATTTGTTAAACGATGAAAATATTTCCGATTGTCTTTAGAGTCCATATTTAAATAATACTGCCAATGATTCCTCCGTTTTCATATTTTAGTTGACCCGCACCCTACAAGCGTTTCAAAATAATAGTTGATTAGTTTTATCAGTTTCACATGAGATATATATGCATGTATATGTTGTACTTGTGCGCGCGTGAATGTATGTGTGTGTGTGTGTATATATCTAGTTGAAACTGTATAGTCTTAGACTGTGGTCAAAGCCTCGCTACAAATGCTTTGAATGCATTTGATGGACCAATTAGAAGAAAGAATTGTACAAGCTGACCAATTAAAAAATACTTCAAAGCATTTGTAGCATCGCTTTGACGTATCCTTTTATCTGAAAGAAAGAAGGATCTATATAGCGCAATATTCACTACTCATATAGTAAATTACACAAATTTAGTTACAATTAGTAAAATTAATATATGAATGAATGAGTGCGAGAAACAGGATTGAAAATTAAGATCATTCCCGTTATCAGACATATCACTATAAAATTTTTAAGAAGAAAATATATTGCGCTTTATAATCTCTTCTTTAATTTCATGCGACTTGAATCGTTCTTCTCGCTTTTTTGATATAAACCCTATTTCCGATCTTCACGCCTTATGCGAAATAGACCGCTTTGCATTTATTTCTTGACATAGATCTTTCTTTATATTTTTCTCGATATAACACCTTCTACGGCTTATACCCATTTCTACCAACTAAGTAGATTAACTTTAATCTCGGTTCAACTTACTCTTCGTCTTTTTCTAATCTTTAGAACTAGAAAAAGACGAAGAGTAAGTTGAACCGGGATTACAGTTAATCTATGTTAGTGGAAACGGGTATTAGGCGTCGGTATCATTGTACATACTTTTACGCTCATATGCGCTTTCGTAATGCAGGCTATTGCAACATTGTACAATTACTATGCACAGTAATTAGTATAATAAACGTATGCAAAAAAAAATAGCAACTGATACTACTGGCAATTAATAAAAATTTTTTACGCAATGGAATATTTTGGATTCAATATTAATTCTGAAGCTTATTTTATGTAATAGAGAGTTAATACAGTAATCATTTTGTTTTAAACGTGAAAAATGCGGTCTGTAATCTTCTCATTAAATTCATAATATAATTGTAGTTTGTACTTTATTGCACTAATTAAATAAAGTAAGTATAAGCAAAGTATTGTACTTACCAATATAGCTGTATTTAGATGCACTCAATCCTCCATCAGGTCCTTGCGCTCTTCGAAGACCAAATTCAAGCAACATTATGTTTTTCCCAGCCATCATGCGATATCTTGCTGCGTTGGTCGCCATTAGACTTGCATAGTTGACCAATGTTAACAGAGTTGTTTCTAAGAGCTGTACCATTATTAATGGTCCTTCCACTCTTATCAAAGGAACGCTGTAAAATCAACAATTACATCTAAGCAATTTACATTTATTCTAATAATAAATTAAAATTACGATAAAGATTAATTAAGGCTCCTGAGTAGTCATCACAACCATATTTGAATTATGACATCAGAAACGAGAAATGACACGTTAATTTTTATTATATGCCATTTATAAGTCAGTATTTACAGATATAATAATTTTAGTATTTCAGAAACTTGTGTGTGTGTCATTGGAACAGAAATACGAATTTAAAAAATATTTAACAATTTAAGGCTCCTGAGTAGCCACCACAGCTTTTCTTTATAAATGGCATCTAATAAAAATTAACGTGTCATTTCTCGTTTCTGACGTCACGATTCAATATGGCTGTGATGACTACTCAGGAGCCTTAAATTGTTAAATATTTTCTTAAATTCGTATTTCTGTTGCAATGATATAAGTTTCTAAAATACTAAAATTATTATATCTCTAAATACTGACTTTTCAACAGAGAGATATTTCCTAAACTTACTTTGGAAATACGACCGATCCCTCATCTATGGCGTATATTGTGACATTTCTTGCAGTGAGACTTTGTAGATAATCAAAGAATCTTTGGTCTACTATAGCAGGCACAATCGACTTTAGATACTTGATATCTGTGACGCGAAAAATAAGATATTATATAATGTAATTTATAAAATATATATGCGCATAGTAAACAACTTCAGCAAATACCACTAGGAGAATAATGAAATTTATTTAAGAACTCTATGCAGTCCTTAAGCCCGGCGAAGATCGTGAATTCTCCCTGAAAAGGATTCTTGCGGAAAAATAAATCAAATACAGCGTGGTCGTTTATTTTGCCGCTCTTCCAATATGCGTAAGCCATAGTGATTTCATATAAGTCTAAAAACAAGCATTGTCCTTCAGTAAATAAGAAATAAAACTTAGAATATGAAAAACATTCAAAAATTCAGTGCCGTCTTAAAAAGATTACGGAGAATTGATTATAGATATATCAGTAAAAAAAAGGGAAAGAAAATCGCGTTTACTAACAGTTTATCCCAAATTTACT